AAGCAGAGTCTGAAGAATTGTTGCTAGTGCTAGTAGCAATTAAGTTTCTTGGAGAAGAATCTCCCACTTGAACACATGCAGCATACCTCTTGGGCTTAGTTAACTTGAAAGCAGCTGAGAACCCATGGAGTCTATAGCATTTGTCTACACTATGCCCAGACTTCTTGCAATATTTGCAAGTTACAAGAGAAGTAGAATTCTTAGACTCAAAATTTACCCTCTGATTATATAGCCTATTGGTGGAAGAAGATATGCCTGATGAAGTAGAGAATGAGGATGCTGAATCAGCTGAAAACCCAAGGGCTATGGACTTAGCTTCCTTTTGACTTTCATCTTGCTGTAAAGTGAATAAGCTTTGCTGATGCTTGGATAAGGAAACATCATTAAAATGCTACTTTTGACTGTGGAATAGGACTCATTTAACCCACTGAGAAACTGAAACAAGTGTTGGTCCTCAATGAATTTAACCCTTTGAATTTGGATATACTTGGAACCATTTGACTAACCATATCTATCATTTATGTCTCTCTAGACTTCACTAGCAGTATTGAAACACATAATACTCACATCAATTTCTCTAGTCAAGGAGTTAGTAATCCAAGCCTTGACCATGTTATTGCAACACTCCTAAAAGGGATAATAAGGAGAATCAGGTTGAGGTTGAGGTATTCTACCAGTTACTAACCCTAATTTGTTTTTAGCTGAGAAAGAGGTCAACATATTGCTACGCCAAATAATGAAGCCAGTTCTATTAAAAGAAATTATGACTAATTGACTACCGGGACTATCAGATGGGTGGACATAGAAAGAGTGACAAGGATCAAGAGTGAATTCACTAAAACCTTCAGAATCAATCGTGGTACCATGAAGGTCCTCAGTCAAATTCGTGTTATTACTCATTGTAATCAACAAATTCAATAGCAAAGATATAACAAAGAAGAAGTAGAGTTGTGAATATATAGTAGGTGTAATCCAGACTAATATTGGTTCCAGTACTTAAAATGAACCCTAGAAATCAGCCCAAATCGAACATGCAATAAGGAAAATGAGAAGATTTACCAATCATCTGCAAAATCGAGAGGATAGAGAGTATCGAAGCTCAGGTTTGAAATTCTGAAAGTAAAAACCTAATTTTCCACTATCGAAGAATCACCGCACCGAGAAAATCTCCAAAACTTCGTTCAAGGGTAGGATCGGATGATTACTGAGGTCGAGATCATTCCAATTAGGGGTGTTCATGGTTCGGTTTGGATCGGTTTTTCCCTGAAAAGAAACCAAACCAAGTAAGTCGGTTTTTCAAATATTAGAACCAAACCAAATCAATTAAGTCGATTTTTCTCGATTTGGTTTATGTCGGTTTTTCGGTTTTTTCGATTATTTGTCGGTTTTTTCTTAAATATAAGACATACACTACCAAATACATATTCCGACGATCACATTTACAATATAACACTATCAAATCAATTGCCCTTTGAGAAAGCTATTATTTACCAAAATATATTGATAATAATTGAATCAAATAGTGATGAATAATTTAAGGACTCAATTAAAAATATGTTATTTTTAACACGAAATGGATTCTTACACTAAACAAAAGAAAACTACCAATCAAGCTAGAATATAAAGGTAAAGAACTATATTAAAAGTGCAAACTATTAACATTTACCATAATTTTTTTGAAACTTTGTATAACAATATACATATATATATATATATATATATGTAATAATAAATTTGAAATAGCTATTCCTATAGTCGGTTTGGTTCCGTTTTTTTTATTAAAACCAAAACCAAACCAAATTTGATTGGTTTTTAAAATTCAAAACCAAAACCAAACCAAACCAAAAAGTATCGGTTTTTTTGGTCAGTTTGATTTGATTTTCGGTTTGGTTCGGTTTTTCGAATTTTATGAACACCCCTAATTCCAATGATCCCGCTCTGATAACATGTTAAGCTGATTACTTGTAGAAAATAAAAGAAATGAAGAGAAAGAAAACCCTAGATCGGGTGAGATGAGAGAGAAGAAGAAGAGTGTTTTATTTCATCATGTGTGTAAAATGAATCTGTACAAATTGATAAGATCTGTTAAGCTATAAAAATGGGCCTAATATACTAATACCAAGTACCAGTACAATTGAAGTGGGTCAGCTATATATATTGGGCCCAATTCTACTTATCAACCATTGTGTCTCTTCACATGTGCTCCATTCATTTCAACAGAAAAAGAAAGGTCTGTGGAGTGGATGGGTCCAACAATTCCTCTTTCACTCATTTATCACTACTCTCACAGATTGGGAAAAGCAGGTAGCTAATACTCTATGACTGTTTTCAATTAGGAATGCCCAAAAAAGAGTATATGGTCCAGCCCGTTCAGATCTGGACGGGTTGTGTTACGAATTTATTTAATGGATAGGTGAACCTGGCGTGTGCTAAATTGAACTATGAAAATGCAATAGCTTGGATCAATTTGGCTTCCTTGGTAACCCAAAATGATACATAAGAAAATTTTATTAAAAAATAGAAAAAATCTTTTTTATATTATTTGTTATGTATACAAATAAGAATTTTTTTTGTATTAATTAATGATTAATCAATTTATCAAAGATGGAACAATAGTTAGAAAAATGGATTGAGTTAGACAAGGCGATGATCCATTATTAGTTCAAATTAACCAATCAGATTTTAATACAAAATCTTTTTAGGCACACTGAGTCATGAGCAATTTATGGATTTAACCCTTTTTGACTGGCCAACATATGTCCAACTTGCCCGTTGGATTCCCCAACTTTTTACTTGCCGCAATTTGACTTGTGCTTTGGTTCAAGTTATGAAAACAATCTGATTTGGGAACCATGTCTGGCGTTCTCAATTTTGACTACAAAGAAAGGAAAGTCCAAATGGTTTCTTAAAATAAACGAAAAAGATAGAAATTATACGTCAATCTCTTTCTCTCTCCACATTTCGGATCAGTAGGAAAAGTTTGATGTGATTCTGGAAAAATAATTTCTTTGCTTAAAAAATTTAAACTAATTTTGTAGTAATTTTTTGGTATCAAAAATAGAAAGGGTCGTTTGACGGGAAAGTCTCCCCAGAATACTAGACTCAAAGATGTCCAAGGACATACGAAAGATATTTCCAACTGCATTAATTAAAAGAGAAATTTTCATAAAGCAATATCGTTTAGTAGTAATTAGCCCTCTATAGATATCATTTGCTATATTACGAATTATAGATACCTTTTCTATGGTTATAAGATGTATTTGATGTATTTAAGCTATTGTATTCATGAATACAGTAACAAAATAGGTGTGAATCAGGGAAGTCCAGCTAATCAGTTGTTGTATTCGAGTATATTCGACTGTATTCATGGAATGAAACATGGGATTACAGCTGGACAGATTATGGTATTCGACTATATTCACGGCGTGAAATAGGGGATTACACTGTTTTTAAAATGGAAAGTGAATCAATTAACATAATAAACTCCTAACAAAATCAATTATAACACTCAAAATTTTGTATTTTCAGTTATAAAAAAGATTCTCAACCGAAAAATACCCCAAAACATAGCAATCTTCAGAGAAATTATATAATACATCTGAATACATAAATTATATTAATTAAAAAAGCATATGAATATATTCATGGCATATAGCGAGATAGTGAATACAATGAAATACATAGAATATAACGGGATACACTGAAATACAATGGAATAAAAGACAGTGAATACAATAAAATACATGGAATACAACGAGATACATTGAATTACAATGAAAAAAAAGGCAATGAATATAATGAAATACATAAAAATACATTGAAATATATTAACAGAAAATCAAGTTGCTCAACCCCAAACTCCGCCGTCTTTGTTCAAGAACAAACCCTAATTTCCGGTGAATCCGCCGTTCACCGGACCGGAGCCGAGGTCACTTCCTGAGCAGAAGCAACCACCGATAAGAGCGCCACAATGGCAAAAAACAATGTCAAAGCCTTCAATACCATATCTGAGAAGATGTAGAAAGCACAGAATTGAAGTGATGGCCACTTAGGTATCAAAAATGCTGTGCCGAAGACGATTATGTAGCTTATGAATGTGGACGGACTGACGCGAGATAACGTGACGAGTCATTTACAGAAGTATAGATTGTATATGAAGAGACAGGGTAATGAGGGGCCTTCTTCTTCTGATGATTTGCTTAATTCCACGTTGGTGAAGCAGAGTTTGTGTGAGTCCGGTTCATTATTGAATAGCGTATCAAAGTAGAGAGAGAAAAAAAATAGTATAACTGAATAGTGTATTTAGTGGCTTAGGGTTAGGAGGTAACCAAAATTAAATATTTTACTATAAACATTAAAAGATATCTATAGAATATAATTTTTTTCCACGGAGGGAGTAAGAGAATAGCTTAATTTGACTTTGAGAGAGCAGGGGTTATAATCTTACAATTGGCCACATGTCTGGTTAATTAGTCGTGACTTGCAAATTAAAGGTTACGATAATTAAAGATCTTTGAGTGGGTCAAGTGTCTTTTACTCGTAGCTGCAAATCACAAAGTTAGCACAAGATCCGATGTTCTCAACCTTTCTTTTTCCAACCTCTTTTTCATAAGCACTAGCTAGTATTATATGTACCAAAAGTATAACTTTTCAATTAATTAATTAGTAGAAATGGGACCAAACACTAATTGTTTAGTTGGATAGCCATCAATTAATGATCAATGATGAAGACGGCTAACCAACAAAAAGAATAAATGTACTGTACAATAATGTCTCAAATAGAAGAAATTAGTTTTACAAAGATAAATGTAAAGATCGAGAGGTCTGTACAAAATTTCCTTCAAATAATATCCGGATAGGTTGTGTATGTCACGTTTCATCCAACAGTACAAGGACCTAGTTTCGAATAATGATCAGATAAAAAAAAATAGTATTCCCTGATTCATTCCACGATCGAGATCACGCAAACTTTTGAGTTGGTCAACCCAACGATCCATAATATATATGGGTTTAAAAAATGTTCCACGAGAAAGAGAAGAAAATTATAAAACTAGCAGTGGATCTTTTTGGCCACTACACATCTCATGTTTTATTCAACTTTAGGACCTTCATAGTATTAGTATATATGATCGAATAAAAAAAAAATATTCAGTTACTCATCCCACGAGATCACATTGAATTTCTAGTTGGTCAACCTGCACATATATATGAGTTTTAATAAATGTTCCCCGAGAACGGTGAGAAAATTATAAATTTATCACCGGATCTTTTTTGGAATATTTTAAATCTTATCTTAAGGTTCCCCTGCCCTATCATTAAAGACCTGAAAAATTCATTGGCAGTGTGAAAGAGGAGGAGTGGTTTGAGGAAATGGAAGAGGCTCTGCTGCCATTGAATGATGTGATCAGCAAAAGGGTGGTGTTTAAAGAAGAGGTGAAAGAAGTTAGTCGCATAGCAATTCCTATGATAGTTGGGACGATGTGCCAATACCTGTTGCGCTATGTACCAATGGTTATGTTGGGTCACTTAAGTGAACTCTCCCTCTCTAGTGCCTCTATCGCCACATCTTCTTGCACTGTTACTGGCTTTGCTATTCTTGTAAACTACCTACCTATCTCCTTTTTCTCTTTTAATTTTTCTTATTTTTGATGAATCTGAATCTGGATGCAGTTTGGAATGGCAAGTGGATTGGAAACTTTATGTGGACAGGCCTATGGAGCAAGGCAGTTTCAAAAAGTTGGCACTATTACATATGCTGCTGTCATGTTTCTTTTATTCTTTTGTTTGCCAATATCTCTTCTATGGATCTACACTGGAAATTTGCTTTTATGGATTGGACTAGACCCATCAATCTCTGTTGAAGCTGGAAAATATTCAATTTGGCTCATACCAACTCTCTTTCCCTATGCTATTCTCCAGTCATTGTTTTGCTATTTCCAGGCTCAAAGCTTGATCCTTCCAATCTTATGGACCTCAATCGTCTCTCTACTTTTTAACATACCTCTCAGTGGGGCTTTCATATTCAAATTTAATTTTGGGACCATTGGTGCAGCTATATCAATCGGTTTATCATATTGGTTGAACGTCATCTTGCTTGTGATTTATGTGAAGTATTCGTCAACCTGTCAAAAGACACGTCCTTCTTTCTCTAAGGATGTTTTCCTTGTTATGCCGGAATCCTTCCAATTTGCTTTTCCATCTGCTGGAATGGTTGGGTACATATTTAATTGTCAAATTTATATAAGTTTGGTATTTCCAGAATTTTGATAAGGCCTCCATTATTAATTTTATATCTTTGTTCATAGATTGAGATGGTGGGCAGTTGAGATAATTACATTACTCGGTGGATTGTTGCCAAATCCACAACTAGAGACTTCTGTTCTATCTATTTGGTATGCAACTTTTCACATTCCATTTCATGCCTGATTATGTTTTCCTCATAAATTTCTAACACACAAAGTACATTGTTTGAATTTCTTTGGATATGCAGCCTTACAACCTCTTCAATACACTTCAACTTACCCTTTTCTTTCGGTGCTGCTGCAAGGTTAATTTTCTCTTCAGTGTTTGGTGTAAAGATAGGAGTAGTATGGTTCAATTGACATTCCTAATTAAATTACTTCATAACTATTTTGTAGCATTCGAATTTCAAATGAGTTAGGAGCTGGGAATCCAAAAGCAGCAAGAATTTCTATATATGCAGTCTTCACTCTAGCAGCTGCAGTACAGGGATAGGAAGAAGGATCTCCACATGGTGTTTATTGATCTGGAGAAAGCGTACGATAGGGTTCCTAGGGAGGTCTTATGGAGTTGCTTAGAGGATAAATGGGTNGGGCACATTCAGAGGAGGAGCACTGATGCACCGGTGAGGAGGTGTGAGCGACTGGCTGTAGTGGGCACGCGGAGAGGTAGAGAGCGACCTAAGAAGTATTGGGGAGAGGTGATCAGACAGGACATGGCGCGACTTAGGATTACTGAGGACATGACCCTTGACAGGGAATTATGGAGTTCGAGCATTAAAGTTGTAGGTTAGAGGAAAGTTGTGAATATTTCTACATCACAATAGAGTGAGACTAGCCAGTTAGGAGTTAGACTAAGAATGTCATTGGTCGTCTATTGATGCAGGGCTTTACCTACTAGTTTTTACTATACCAGCNGCTATTTGCTGATGACATTATTCTAATTGACGAGACACGAGGCGGCGTCAACGAGAGACTAGAGGTTTGGAGACATGCTCTTGAGTCTAAAGGTTTCAAGTTGAGCAGGACGTAGACGGAATACCTCGAGTGCAAATTTGGGANTATTGCTGTTATTTTATTATGCGTTTTTATGGTACTAATATATCGTCTCTTGTTTCTTTCTTGAGCCGAGGGTCTCCTGGAAACAGCCTCTCTACCCTTCGGGGTAGGGGTAAGGTCTGCGTACATATTACCCTCTCCAGACCCCACTTGTGAAATTATACTGGGTCGTTGTTGTTGTTGTACTCTAGCAGCTGCAGAGTTTCTTCTGGCAAGTGGAATTCTGTTTTGCTTGCGGAATGTATGGGGATATGCTTTCACACATGAACAAGAAGTCGTCGATCCTATCACAGAAATTACTCCTCTCCTCTGCCTCTCCATCATCGTTTATAGTACAGTTACTGTATTATCAGGTCATTTTTTCCATCACTCTTTTCGTTTAGTTTAATAAACAACATTCAAAATGGTTACATCTCGTATTTTCTTATATGTAGATCTCTCTCACTACCGGTTGTTTCTATTGCTTCGGCTGTCTTATTATTATGTTGTTACTGCTTCTTTTTTCCATGGCTTTTTCGTTGATGTATTTCTTATTAAATATGTTGTGACTAAGTTTTTTCTAAGACGAGGGTCTGTCTTCGCAAGGTAGGGATAAGGTCTGTGTACACACTAACTTCACTATACCCCACTTGTGTGATTACACTGGAATTGTTGTTGTTGTAATAGTATTCAAAATGGTTACCAGATAGTTTAAATGCAGTTAATTACTAGTAGTAGTTTATTAACACGCTTTCTTTTTCCTGCATCAGGAGTAGCAAGAGGAATTGGATGGCAACATATAGGGGCCTATGTTACTTTAGGATCATATTACTTGGTCGGAATTCCTGCCTCGTTACTCATGGGATTTGTTTGGAATTGGAAAGCAAAGGGCCTTTGGTGTGGATTATTGATGGGGTCAACAGTGCAAGCTATTCTGCTTTCTATTATTACTGGTCTCACAGATTGGGAAAAACGGGTAGCTAACCCAAAAGATGTAAATAGTGTTTTTTTTCTATTTTTACTTTGAAGCATTAAAAACTCTGGTTATTTCTCGTTTCAACTTTACAGGCCAAGGAAGCAAAAGAAAGATTGCTTGATAGGAAGATTTCCTGCAACAAATGACTCAAATTAATGTACGACTAGACAATGATGATCTTCCCTTCGAAACCATACAAGCACAGCTTAAGTTGGCTACATGTTTTTCCTAGCATATGTCTCTATTTGAGCAGTGACATATATACGAACATTTTGTACTCTTAAGATATATGAGTATTTGAAGCGTCCTTTTGCTCGTACCTTCAATTCACTAAAGTAGCACAAGACGCTTTCAATTCAAGAAAGTAAATCCATACATTTTTCCTTTAATCAATGAAATTAGTTAATTAGGAGTAGTTGATAAGATTTGAAGACGTACTTGTAGAGAGGGGTTTCTCTTCTCCTATGTGTGCGCGCGCGCGTTTTTGAACTATGCATNTATATATATATCCTAATTCAACATTGGGGAGGAGTTCACTGAGGCCTTTATTGATAACTTCTTGTCCATTAAGATGAGGAAAAAATAGGCTGTGTAGTTCAAGAACTTAAAAGTAAAGGACTATGATTATTTAGGATTATTACTTGAAATTCGTCCAGCGAAGGTATGTCCTCTATATGTTGCCCAACATGGGAGAAAAAGTTCATCAATTTTCCAAGGTCTCAAGGGCTATGTTATAAATGAAGCTTCTACAGTCACCATTAATTCCGACATGATCTATAAAAAAATGGTGGATTTTGCCCAAAAGACCGAGTCCCCCAAGCAGAAGAGCAAGTTGGGGAGAGATAACAAGAAGTCTGGGTCCACGGAAAATTTTGAAGGTTCATATTGTGGATTTCTTGTAGGATTTTGTATATGGTAAAATTGGAGGGTCCAATTTTCTATCGTTACGATGCCTCGTAAGCACATTTCGAAGGCTCGAGACCACGGTCGAGTTTTATCCTTCGAGGGCCATCGACGCCCGATCTCGGGACAGTATAGACCGACGGTTACAGAGAGAAAGTGGGGAGTTCCCAAAGCGTGTAGCTAGAGCCGACAAAGTCTGTCAGGCTAGTCTAAGCCCGCATCATGGCATTGACTAGTCGTACCATCTCCATATCTTTGTGATTAATGCCTTTTGTACTATGTTAGGATTCCCCTCATATATAAAGGGTATCCTTGTCATTTTGTAAATATCTGTTGCTCAATACTAAATACATAAGAACATTTTCTCTGCTCTCTAATATATTCTCTTGATATTATTACTTCCATTTATTGCCTATATTTATTGTGTTCTACTTATTGTTCTTCATTTTTGCTTATTATTGGCCATAAAGAGCCGTTATTGATTTTATTCTAACTGTTAGTCTCTATCGATCGCCCTCGGCGGACATCGGACTCGACCCCGAGGCCCGAATAAGCAAGCTTGAGGCCCCGATTGACAGCGATTCGGTTTGGTTAATATCTCGTTTTTAAGCTCTTACCTTGATTCCGAGTATCTCACTTAGCATCTATTTCCCTAACAACTAGCATAAAAATAGATCACATATTTTTAGAACCATTAAATGAAATTTAATTGTTATTACCATTTTTACTGTAAACAGTTTGGCGCCCACCGTAGGGCTAATAATAATAGTTATTATTTTTTTGCTGGTTTAACTACATAATGCAAGTTATCTTTCACACTTTTTCTTGCCCAAAATCTTTGATTTCAGGTCAAAATGTCTGACTCAGTGAACAACAATCTTGAGAACCACAGAGAGAATGGTGTGGATGTTCCAGGTGTTGGTGTACCACCACGAAACCTTGAGAACGCACCAGGACCAATTCCAGTGGACGCGGTCTCACACGACGCCCAAAATGTCCATATAAGCTCTCACACTAACATGAGTGTGCACCGAGGAGACCAACAAGAAGCTCAGAAAATCCCAACTAGGGAAGAACGAGAGGTTAGCCTTCGTGCTATTTTTGAAATGTTACAGGCACAACAGCTGGCGATTGCTCAGTTGCAAAGTCACAAGAAAACTCCCAGCACGGTAGCACCAGGCACGGCCCCACCGGCCGAGCAGCTACTAGAGAGATTGAGCAACAACGGGTCGGCAGCCGACCCCGCCATCGTAAAGATGCTCGAGGATCTCACAAAGAGGATAGAGTCGGGCGAGAAGAAGATAAAAGCCAACGACAAGAAGGTAAAGACCAATAATTCCAGGGTCGATCAAATTCCGGGAGCACCCCCGATTCTAAAAGGGGTAGACTCGAAGAAGTTAGTGCAAAAGCCTCTTCCACAGGAAGAGGCCCCAAAACCCATTCCAAAGAAGTTCAGAATGTTCGAGCTTCCGAAGTACAACGGAACCTCAGACCCTAATGAGCACGTTACCGCATACACTTGTGCAATGAAGGGCAACGACCTAAAGGACAATGAGATCGAGTCCGTCTTACTGAAAATGTTCGGAGAAACGCTCTCGAAAGGGGCCATGATGTGGTATTACAACCTAGATGCTAACTCCATAGACTCATTTTCCATGCTGGCAGATTCTTTCATAAAGGCACATGTTGGTGCCATCAAAGCACCACCAAGGAAGTCTGACGTCTTCAAAATCAAGCAGAGGGGGAACGAGATGCTGCAAGAGTTCGTATCTTGCTTTCAAATGTAAAGAATGGAACTACTGCTAGTATCCGACGATTGGGCAATAGAGGCCTTCACTCAAGGTCTGAATGAACGAAGCTCGGTGGCTTCAAAGTAGCCAAAACAGAATCTGGTTGAATATCCCGCTGTGACCTGGTCAGACGTTCACAATCGATATCAATCGAAAATGAGGGTCGAGGATGACCAACTAAGAGCCCCCTCAGGCTCAGTATACCTAAGCAGGCTTCTGGCAAAGGATATAAAGCCAAACAAAGAAAGGTACTAGCCATACACCGAAGACAGGAGAAACGCCCCGAGGCGTAACATACCCCGCAATGATTGAAGAATGGACCGAGGCCTGAATCCTTGGGGAATCTTCAACAAAGCTAGATTCAATAGGCACACAGAGCCAATGGAGGCACCTTGCTTGTCAGAGTACAACTTCAACGTCGATGTATCAGACATCGTGTCCGCTATCAGTAAAATCAGAGACGCCAGGTGGCCTAGGCCTGTGCAATCAGATCCTTCGCAAAGAAATCATAACTTAGTGTGTGAATTTCACAACACACACTGCCACAGGACCGAGGATTGCCACCAGCTCCGAGAAGAAGTAGTCAGACTACTCAGTAAAGGTCACTTCTAAGAGTTCCTCAGCGACTAGGCCAAAAATCAATTCCGGGAAAGAGAGGCGGCCAAGAAGAACAAAACGAATGAGCAACAACATGTCATCCACATGATCTTGAGAGGCATCGATGCCCCACAGGAGCCCACGATGAGAAGAACAAAAATATCCATCACCAGAGAAAAGCGAATTCGGGGTTACATACTTGAGGATGCTCTCACATTCAGCGATGAGGACATCGAGACCTTATCTCAGCCTCACAATGACGCACTGGTAATCTCTTTTCTT